CGCAGCGTCGCGGCCGCCGGGCTCGGGCCGCTGACTGGGCTTCTGTTCTAGGACCTGCTTCGCTGCCGCGTCCTGACCTCTGGGATCTTCGAGACCAAGTTCCAGGTGGACAAAGTCAACTTCCAGTGAGTGGCTGGTGCCCCTTTTCCCGAGTCAGTGGGACCCGGGCGCTCCCTCCGGCGCGGGGTGCGGGCGGGGACGGCGTCGGGGTGACCGCGCCCCCTCTCTCTCTCTCCCGCTCCCGCAGCATGTTCGACGTGGGCGGCCAGCGCGACGAGCGCCGCAAGTGGATCCAATGCTTCAACGGTAGGGGGGACAGGCCGCTCCCCGCGAGGCATGTCGCTTTTTAGTTGGGGGGGGTCGTTTTCGCTTCTGACGCGCGTCGCCTTTGTTTCTCTCGTGCCGCAGATGTGACCGCCATCATCTTCGTGGTGGCCAGCAGCAGCTACAACATGGTCATTCGGGAGGACAACCAGACCAACCGCCTGCAGGAGGCTCTGAACCTCTTCAAGAGCATCTGGAACAACAGGTGGGTGGGGTGACGGCGGGGCCCCCGCCCGCGGGGTGCGGGCCTGCGCCCCCGGCCGTAACCGCGCCCCGCCGCCCCCTCGCCCCCCGCAGATGGCTGCGCACCATCTCCGTGATCCTGTTCCTCAACAAGCAAGATCTGCTCGCCGAGAAAGTGCTCGCGGGCAAGTCCAAGATCGAGGACTACTTCCCCGAGTTCGCGCGCTACACTACTCCTGAGGATGGTAGGTGGCCCCCCGCAGCCCCCTGCATGCACCCTGCATGCGCCCCTGCTGGAACAGGGCCCCGGCCCCCCAAAGCCCCGCTCCGAAGGCCCAGTGGGAGCGTGGAACGCTGCCTTCGCCGGTCTGCGTGGAGGCGGCGGCGACGCGCGCGCCGGCCTGCTCCGGCCCCTCGGTTCCTCTAAGGGGACCGATCTCTTCTTCCAGCTACTCCCGAGCCCGGAGAGGACCCGCGCGTGACCCGGGCCAAGTACTTCATCCGCGACGAGTTCCTGGTGAGTGCCCAGGTCGCTCTTCTCTGCAGGGCTCTCCCCGGGAGGAAACCGTCCAGCCCTGCCCTCCCCTGCGCTGGCAGCCGGTGCGAGTTCCAGCCCGCGGGCCCTTCTCGTGGTTTTGCTGGAACCGGCCTGTCGCCAGCCGGTCGTGGGGCCTCAGTAGGTGGCCCCGTCCGCCGCGCGGGGAGGATTCTGGAGGGTTCTGGAGGGTTCTGGAGCTGCTGCTGAGCGCGTCGCGTCCTCTTCTGTCCCGCCGCAGAGAATCAGCACTGCCAGCGGGGACGGGCGCCACTACTGCTACCCCCACTTCACCTGCGCCGTGGACACCGAGAACATCCGCCGCGTCTTCAACGACTGCCGTGACATCATCCAGCGCATGCACCTCCGCCAGTACGAGCTGCTGTAAGAAGGGAACCCAGATTTAATTAAAGCCTTAAGCACAATTTATTCAAAGTGAAATGTAACTGTACACGCGGTTAGTCACCCACCATAGGGCGTGGCTAACAAAAGCACCCTTCCCTTCCCCCCGTGATTTTGCGAAAACCCCTTTTCCCCTGCAGCTTGCTTAAATATTCCAAATTTAGAAAGCTTAAGGCGGCCTACAGAAAGAAAATTAAAAGGCCACAAAAGTTCCCTCTCTCTTTAAGTAAATGAAATAACAGCAGCCGACAGAATTAAATAAATATTGTCTTGTGCAGCATTAAAAAAAATCAATAAAAATTAAATGTGAGCAAAAGACGTGGCCTCGTGGGTTCCTTGCGGTTCCGAGCGAACACCTGTCACTCAGGGTGTCGCCTGCATCCACACACAGGCGCGAAGCCCATCCTGGGGGTTTGGAAAACGATTTGCAGATGCTACAGAAAGTCCACCCAGTCCTCCCAGACCCGGCCCCACGGGAAACCACTAGACCAGGTCAGGGAGTTCTGTACCTTTGACCTTCCCGCCCAGTCCAAAGAGCTGCCCAACAGACCACCTCAGAGTGTCTGTTTACCCAGAGTCTCCCCAAAACAGGTGGTAGGTTTTTGCTCCATGTCCAGCTTTGACATAGGGACTCAATTATGTGGGGGGAATCTAGAAATGCAGTGGTTAAAATCAGAGAAAGGGGTTGGTCGTTCAAGCTGTAGGGCACAATGGACGTGTCCGGCAAATCACACTACACTTTAAATACCTTATGGTTTAGTCGGTTATGCCTCATGAAAGCTGGAGGAGGTGGGACAAGAGACAGGAAAGCTAGTGAAACACCCGGCTGGCCACCTAGCGGGGAGTTTAAGTGGGATCTCCACCTCGTCCCAGACACAAATAAGTTAAATGTGGAACAATCACGTGTTTGATTACAAAAGGTCCTTTAAAAATGACTTTTTACAATTAAAATCTTGGTTCCTAAGAGGTGGCTTTAAGCAGGACCTCAGACCCAGAGCCACGAGGGGGGAGGGCGGGGTGGGAGCACCATGGGAAAACACGTCGGGTACAAAACACGACTGGGGGTGGGAGCTGCGTAAAGATCTGCGAAGAAGGGTTCATTTTCCCTAATTAAGCAAAGTGCTAAGAATATAAAGCAAGCCCATCACAAAAATGGGCAAAGCACATGAACATGCAATTTAAAGATACGGTAACTAACACCGGGTGTAACGTGGAACCTCAGTCACAATAAAATGAAAGGCAAAGTGCCACGGCTGGGGGATGTGGGGACGTGGGGGCGTGGGGGCTGGGGTCATGCACATGCCACCCGTAGAGCAATGAGGGGCTGCTGCACCGGAGGTCCACTTGGGTTCCCTGGTCCTTCATCCCCACTGTCATCCCTTAAGCTGTGCTCACCCACGGTGTAGCTTCACAGATGAGTGGAAGACACCAACCTGTCCCCAGCACCAACCATGGCACCTTCGGAAACTGGCCCCGTGGGATGATAACCAAGTCGATTCTATGGTTAAGCCCAGAAGTCCACTTCTGTTTTCTAGGTCAAATTAATCCCAGCCAAATTAAACGTCAAGCAGAATTTGTCAGAGATGAGCAAAACGAACCCCAATGAGAGCAGAAAAAGTGCCAAACACACCATTCTCCATGAACCTTCCCAAAGCCTCCTATGTAAAATTAAGTCCACAAACACTGAGGGCTTGCTATGCAGAATCAGTTAAAAAACAACTCTCAAAACCTCTCCCAAATTAACATACAATCTACATAAGTGCTTGCTATGCAAATATAGCCAGAAGTACAGCCCACAAATTCCCATAATCCCCAAGTACTCCAATAAACACAACGAACGAAAACCTGGGACCAGTTATCAAGCGTAACCACAAGACCAGCCCACCATACAAACACCCATCCAAGGAAAGTCCATGCTAACAGAAAACAGATCCAACACCTGTCCCATAGTCCCCCTTTCAAGATGGCCACCTATCCTGCCCTTCTACATGGAAATTCTGGAACCTTCTCTGAATAATCCACATAAGAAGTGCCACAGCAGTAGCCGCATATCCATCAGAATCGGAAAACAAATTCCCAGGCCACAGCAGTCATCCCAAGAAGATGATACCCCATCCTCCCCCCCAACCCCCTTGCTAGTCAAAATCGGCAGAGACTTAGGGAGAACTTCTAGAAGGAGGTAATAAAAGCCAGTCATCCACACCTGCTACATGCTAATCGCCGCCCACTGAGACAGGTTCAGCTACGACCGCCATTTACCAGTGAGTAAGCGGGGGGCCTAGAGGGGCCGAAGTAACTTGCCACAGGAGACATGGCCAAGAAGCTGGGAGAACGGCCGTCAGACTCAGAGAGCCCAAGCCCGCTGCGTGATCACGACACTGCCCTGTTCTGGAAGACACAGAAAAAAAAGGGTCTCCTGATGTTCTTCCCAGGGGCCGGCTGTCTGGAGTCCCAGACCTGCGACTCCGAGGGGACTCTGCGGGGATCCAGTGGTGACGATGGGGTGGGCGGGTACGTGGCGGAGTGGCATTGGACACACACCTGCCTCCCACCAGCTCAGAGCTCTGCCATGGGGCCCCCTCCCGTCGCTCGGACGTGTCTGCGGGTCCCCTCCGTTCTTTAGCCCCCATCCCTTCCCTCTAAAGCATTTTCATTTCCATTTGCCCTTTGACCTGGCACCAAACCTAACTTTTATGGGGCTACTTTATGATCTAAATTCTAGGATCTTCAGAAAGTCAAGAAATTATGAAGAAATTCATCTGAATCTTTGATCACGAGAAGCCATTTGTTTCAACATTTTTAACTGAATTTTATTTGTATCTATTCAAATGCTAAATGACATAGTTTTGTAAAGGTAACCATTTGCGCCACACTTTATAAAGGTGTGTAGGCCAATTATTACAAATATCTATGCACTGACCTTTTAGAGATTAAATAATAATATAAGAATCATAAACCACTAAAACACTCCCCATAAAGCCTAATGAGGCCTAGAATTGTGCAAGATTCCTGCCCACATTGACTTTTATTTAAAGGTGGACAAGATTATATCAAAAGAAATGGCCACCTCTGCCCAAGCCTTCTATGTTAAGTGGCCTCCTTTGATCATAATATTTTCTTGGACATTTTTGGTCATCTTTTTATTAAACAAATGTAGAGAGAATACAGAATCTCTGCCAGCCATTGGGAGTTCTGGTTCATGGCATTTATACTCCACTGGGGACAGACATGCATTTACCGAATAAATAATCAAAAGAATTACGGATGGTGACAAGGTCTCTGAGCTCATAAACAAGATGGGGCAATGGGGACAGGAGATATTTGGGAAAGGATTCCACCTTAGATAGACTAGCCAGGAGGGCCTCTCGGAGGAGGTGACTTTTCTTATGAGAATATCAAGACGAGAAGAAGCTAGCCATCCAAGCGCAAGTAGCTAGGACTATTTTTGATTAATATTAATTACGAAAACATAATTAACATTGATGGAGCACTTTACCCTGTGCCAAGCACTGTGCTAGGCCCTTGATAGGAATTATCTCATTCGATTATTTTGAAACCCTATAAGGATGTACCCTTTTCATCTGTACAGGATGTACCCAATCTGTACCCCATTATACAAAAGTGAAAAAGATAAATTATATCTAAAACGCTGTGACTACTCCATGCCGGTTATTCCTTTAAAAATGGTTACACTAAAAGCCATTGCAATAAGCACTTAATTTGAGTGATTGCTACCCAGGTTCCCATTTTGGAGTTGGGCAAATCGTTTCCTTTCGATAATTTTCCTGTGTTTAAACAGTCATACGCTGGGAACGACTAAAGTTTTCTGGTTTTGCCTGTCTGATTCTCTAGGTGTTTGGCTGCAAGCAACAGGATCCTGACTCGGAGTGACGCAAAAACAGAAGCTTATGCCTCACTTACTGAGAATTCGGGAGGTGGGATTTCAGCAGCTCATCAGCGGCAGGGCCGACGCCCCCACAAGTCCCTCGGCTCCTCTCTCCTGGCTGTGGAACGGCATTGGGTCTTAGCCCAAGGCAGAGAGGACAGGAAGAGGACAGGTCCGGTGCACTCTTTCTTTTATTAGGAATACGAATGCTTTGTTGACCTTCTCTCCCTGCCACTCCAAATACACACAGACACCTAGACAGCAAGATAAATAATTAGGTAGTTAGATATAAAGCTAGCTAGCTGGACAGGAAAGTGTCTGTTCAATAACACTAACACGCACACACACATGCACACACACGGGGATTTATAATTTCCAGTTGCATGATGGATTTTTGATGGAACATCCAGAAAGATATATCCAGGATTAGGGGAGATAACAGGTAAAAAAAAAAAAAAAAAGAACTTTCAAATCATAAAAGACTAATTTGTGTTATTCTGTGTAAATTAGTTTGAAAGCCTAGATGGAATGGATAATTGTCCTGAGAAATACCGTTTAGCAAAACTGACCGTAGTGGAGACCAAAAAAAAAAAAAAAAAAATCTTGACCATAGAAAAACTACAGAGCTTGGTTCGAGAGCATCACGGGAAAACAGCGCCAGGCTGTTCTGGGAAGGACATATGAGGGAAGCTCTTTGGGGTGCTAGTACCTGTTTCATAATCTAAACGCTGATTAAACAAATATATTCCACTTGAGAAAATTCACTGAACTGTCCACCTATGGTTTGTGCAATTTTCAGTGTGTATATTATACTTAAAAAAAATTATTTTTAAACGGGGAAAAGGAAAAAGGCACCGGGCCCAGGTAGTTTTACAGGGACTTCCACTAACTCTTCAAAGGTCAAATGATTTCAGTACTACTTAAATTATTCCAGAGTGTAACCAAGGAAAACTTCAAAAATATGTTTATGAATCCAGTTTAATATTGATTCTAAAACATGTCAAAGATCACATCCCACAACAAAATTACAGAGCCGCCCTCGCTTGTGAATATCAAGATAAAAACCTTAAAATATAAGCAAGCGGAATCCAGTATCAGATTTAAAAAATAATACATCATGCCTAGATGAAACTTATTCTATGAATTTAAGGTTGGGTCAACATAGCAAAATAGTAATAGTTGCCAAAATTTAATACCCGTTGATATTTTTAGAAATCCAATAGCAATTAATAAAGTTTTAATATAATGACTATGTAACACACATCTATACTATATATAACATACGTGTATGTATAATTTACATAGTACAGTACATATACCATATAATATATGTATATAAAATATACTTTTCTCCCCAAATCACCGTTTTATTTAATGAAGAACCTCTAAAAATTTTCCCACTAATGTTAGAAACAAGAAACGAAAAAGAT